ATGCTAAGCGAAGTCTTCTGGGTCGTACCTAACGAGGTATGGTTCAACAGTTCGCAGCAGCTTCAAAAATTCCTCGTGCATCAGGTAGTAATATAAGCCGCGCGTCGTTCATCGAGCTTGGACGGCATAAAGAGCCTTATCGGTTCACGGTAGGTACGACCGACATCGTTGTTTGTCGGCTTGACCGACTTTCCCCGCTCAAGAGAGGAAGGATTCTTCTAGATGTCGACCTCGATTATTTCTCCCGATATCGCGATTCTGGTAACGATGGAGACTGGTCGGAACCGTCGATAGAACCTTTCGACATAGTTTCTGATCTCCGTGCGCGAATTTCAGATCCCGAGATAACGACTGTGGCATTGTCGTGGCACGGCGGCTATGTGCCAAACAATCTGCTAGTCAGGATTATTCCGATTTGTAATGATGCAGAAAATCTTCAAAAAAGAGAGGTGTGGGGTGGATTTGACCGTCAACCTACAAGCTCATATCTCGAATATACCTGGGCTTGTGGTCTGCTGCACCGTAAACGCCCTGCGGAAGCATTGCAATTCGCGCGTCGTGCCGTCGATGCAGATCCGGAAGTCGGGGCCCATCATTATGCGATATCCCTTGGTGCAGCTGGCGTTGGTGATCTTGCCAGTGCCGCTGCAGCGCGAGATCGATGCCTGTCTTGTGGCACTATAGAGTCTGCGCAAGTTCTTAACGACTTTGCAGGAATTTCTGTGCGAATGGGCGACATTCAAGGTGCGCTTGTTCTGCAGGAGAAGGCATTTGCAGTTGATCAGGCTGAGAGTCCAATTGTTTCCGCCAATCTGATGTCGTTATATGCTCAAACCGGAAATTGGGATCGCGCCAAGGATCTAGCACAGATTACGATTGAGTGGCAGCCGTTCAACCCCGAAGCCTTCGTTGTATTGGCTACGACAGCACAGTATAACGGCGGTAATATTAGTGCGGCTGAAATGTGGGAACTTGCGGCTGAGATTACACTCGATGATCGGCAGAAAGCTTCTTATCGTCGTCGTAGCGCGAGGTTTCGTTCGTATCGAAAGGATTCTAATCATGTGTGACCATTGCGATGCTGCATCACTTGTAAATTTGGTAAAGGAGTTTTATCGGTGTGAAAACGCCCGTGACTGGGTTGGCGTGGGGGCGAGAGTGAGCCCCAACATTGTGTCACGAAGCTACCCCTCGGGCGAGGTGGTATCTGGGAAGGATTCATATTTGAGCGCCATGCGTGATATGTATCAGGGACGCACTGAGACTTTCACTGTGCTCTCAATAAGTGCGGACACGCTTACATCGACTGTGCATGCTGAACTCGTAATTGAAGGAAAGGTATCTGTGAATGTCTTTGAAATCCATGAAGGCCTTATAGTGAGCGAGCGTGAATATCTAGGTGCGGGCTACTACGGTACGCGACAGTTGACAGAGGTCACAGCGGATGGGGATATCTGATTGACAAAAAGGAACATATCAACGAGAAGACCAAGGCCCTGCTCGCAAAGCTTGGTCTCGAGGAAGCTGTAAACCACCATCCCCACGAGATGTCGGGCGGAGAAATA